GTGCGGCGGTGGCGGCGACGGCTGTGGTGAAGGAGGAGGAGCCGGAGCCGGAGCTGGCACCCAGGGCCGAACCATGGACGAGGAATACGACGTGATCGTGCTGGGGACCGGCCTCACCGTGAGTTTGCCCTCATAGCATCTGGGGCCCGCTGCTCTGATTGCCACCACCCATCCTTGCGGTGATGCGCATCCCTCAATGATGCCTCCCGGCCCCGCCAGTGGCCGCCTCCTGTTCCCCAAAAGACAACCTCTGCTGCGGCCCCCTCACCACCTCATATCTGCCCACGACCCCCGCTCCGAGCCCGGCCTGCCAGACGACGCCCCAGGAGCGGACCCCGCCCACCAGCCCCCCACCTTGAGCTAATCCGCAGGGGAGATTAGAGGAGATGAGGCGCGGGGTGGGCCAGCATCCTATGTTTCCAGCTGCTTCTGGGGCCAGGGACCCAGTGAATGTTCGAGAAGCATCGACATTCCTGCTCCCCCTTCTGTTTCCCATGGCGACCAAAGGCCCTGTCGAGATGCAGCCTTTGTCCTTGGGTTGGTGACATCAATTGGAGAAGGCACAGGGTCGGGTCCCATCCTTGGAGAAGGTTGGACCAGGGCGGGGCACCCGAGGGTGGCAGTGTGCCCACTACTGTTCCCAGGGGCTGCTGGGTGTGGAGACTGCAGGGGGGTGGCCTGCCTCAGCACCTCCACCTCTGCTGGTGCCCGAGGCTGGGCGCTGGCTTGTGTCTGTTGTGCCCAGGTGATGGGGAGGCACCCCTTGTGTTTGCTCCCCAATGCCTATCAGGGTGGGGAAGTCTGGGCTGTAGGAGGGGGGTGTGTGTTATGTGGAAGGGTACAGGATTGCCATGTCTCCCCCCAGGAATGCATCCTGTCTGGCATCATGTCAGTGAACGGCAAGAAGGTGCTGCACATGGACCGGAACCCCTACTATGGCGGGGAAAGTTCCTCCATCACACCCCTGGAAGAGGTGAGACCACCCGCCTGCCTGTTCTGTGCTCTGGGGCTGGGGGGAGGGGTGGTTCCTGGGAGCTCCCTGAGTGCCCCTCTCTCTCCTGCTTGCAGCTGTATAAGCGTTTTCAGTTCCTGGAGGGGCCCCCTGAGTCCATGGGCCGTGGCCGAGACTGGAATGTTGACCTGATCCCCAAATTCCTGATGGCCAATGGTGAGGGGAACGAAGGTGGCATGGGGGTACTGGGAGGAGCAGGGCAACCAGGTGGTCTGGGGAGAGCATGCTGCTGATGTGGCTCCTCTGCTCGCTCACAGGGCAGCTGGTGAAGATGCTGCTGTACACAGAGGTGACGCGCTACCTGGACTTCAAAGTTGTCGAAGGCAGCTTTGTCTACAAAGGGGGCAAGATCTACAAAGTGCCATCCACGGAGACCGAAGCCTTGGCTTCCAGTGAGTGCATGTTCCCTGAACCAGAGGCGGGGGTGGGGGGTGGTGGAGGGAGAGCACCACACATGGAATGACAAGGAACATTTCAGGGCTTCTTGCCAGGAGAGGGGTCCAGATCAGACGGGGTGGGGGTCTCCATTGGAAAGACTTCACTCTGAGCAAGGGACTGCTCTCGACCTGCGAAACACTGCTATAGGTGGCCTCGGAACTTGGCCAGCCCAGTCCCCTCTGGGTGGATAGGGACCAGACCTTGAGAGGCACAGGGACTGTGCCTCCATGATGCAGAGGGACTGACTGAGGACACGGTGGGCAGTGGGCGCCTAGCCTGACAGCACGAGGCAGCATAGGCTTTCAGAAGACTCAACTTACAACCTTTACTGCAGATCTGATGGGCATGTTCGAAAAGAGGCGCTTCCGCAAGTTCCTGGTGTTTGTGGCAAACTTTGACGAGAACGATCCCAAGACCTTCGAGGGGGTTGATCCCCAGACTACTAGCATGCGTGATGTCTACCGGAAGTTTGATTTGGGCCAGGATGTCATTGACTTCACTGGCCACGCCCTGGCGCTCTATCGCACTGATGAGTGAGGGAGAGCTGGGATTGGGAAGGTGGGGGGTGGGGGGAGGCGGGCCCTCCTTAACCCCTACATTGCCCTGTTATACCCTCTGTCCTCAGCCACTGCTCCGCCCTTTGTTCCAGTGTGTGATCACTGCTCTTCCCCCAGACCATTCGAAGGGGTGGACAAGCAGGGCTAGTGCTCTGCGGGGGCAGGAAGGCGGGGGACAGGCTCTTTGAGCGTCTTTTTCTGCCTCTCAGCTACTTGGACCAGCCCTGCTTGGAGACCATCAACCGCATCAAGCTATATAGTGAGTCCTTGGCCCGGTATGGGAAGAGCCCATACTTGTACCCGCTTTATGGCCTCGGTGAACTGCCCCAGGGATTTGCAAGGTGAGGACAGAGCTCTTCGAGATCGTATACTGAACAGAACTGAGGGCAAGTGTTTAAAGGGCTGCCTCGTTTTCATGTTCCTCTTGGTGACCCATTGGGGCATGGGCCCAGCAGCTGTGCCCATCTGAGTCTGTGCCCTCCTTGACACCTTCACGTAGCCCTCAGGAGAGTACTTGGGACAGAAGCTTCTGAGAGGAACAAGCGAACCGAGTTCAACCCTGAGTGTGTGGCAGCGAACGAGCTACTGGAACCAGCAGCTGCCTCTCCACACTCGTGCCCTAGGCTTAGGGTGGGTGGTGGGTGGTGTGTGTGTGTGTGTGTGTGTGTGTGTGTGTGTGTCCCCAGCTCCTGTGTCTCCTGACTGGGCAAATTCACCTTTACTCCCCTCATGACCCCAGATTGAGTGCCATCTATGGTGGGACATATATGCTGAACAAACCCGTGGATGACATAATCATGGAGAATGGCAAGGTGGTGGGTGTGAAGTCAGAAGGAGAGGTAAGCTGGCCCCTCCCTGGTGGCAGCCAGTGGGGGGGCCATACATGGCCTTCTCAGAGGCCCCCTGACCCATGACCCAGCCACTACCCACCTCGGTGCTGGGCTTCTGGGTGCAGACTCCATTGCTGTTGCTAGTCCAGTGTCCTGATGCCAGTGTGTCCCCAGAGGGGCAGCCCTAGCTCTGGGCATCTTGTGGAGCGGGCTGGGGGTCTGATAGGACCCAGGACCCAGGCCTTCCTTTGCTTCCCAGGTGGCCCGCTGCCGGCAGCTGATCTGTGACCCCAGTTATGTCCCAGATCGGGTGCGGAAGGCGGGCCAGGTGATCAGGATTATTTGTGTCCTGAGCCACCCCATCAAGAACACCAACGACGCCAACTCCTGCCAAATCATCATCCCCCAGAACCAGGTCAACAGGAAGTCAGGTAGGCAGGCCGGGCTGTCCCCGTCCCCCATCCCCTTCTCAGAAACCTCCACTGACTGAGGGCTCCTGTGGCAGACATCTACGTGTGCATGATCTCCTACGCGCACAACGTGGCTGCGCAGGGCAAGTACATCGCCATTGCCAGCACTACGGTGGAGACCTCGGAGCCTGAGAAGGAGGTGGAGCCGGCCCTGGAGCTGCTGGAGCCCATAGACCAGAAGTGAGCAGCTGGGCTGTGCCCCAAGCTAGGGAGGGGGCTAAGGAGCAGCACCTGGGGGGCAGGGTCTCGAAGGAGGCCCATCTGCCCACTTCATCTGCCCGCAGGTTTGTGGCTATCAGCGACTTGTATGAGCCCATTGATGATGGCTCAGAGAGCCAGGTAAGCAGCCCTATCTCAGCTTCCTGGGCTCCCAGCTGCCCCACCTACTCATCCACTGGTGCCCCACCCACCTCACCCTGGGCCCCGCCTGGCTATTTCCAGGTGTTCTGTTCCTGCTCCTATGACGCCACTACCCACTTTGAGACAACCTGCAACGACATCAAAGACATCTACAAACGCATGGTAGGCTCGGCGTTTGACTTCGAGAACATGAAGCGCAAGCAAAATGATGTGTTCGGCGAAGCTGACCAGTGACTGCCGCCACCGGGCTGGGCCGGCTGCCTGTCTCTGGCTCCCTCTGCTCCCTACCCCAGTACCCTTCACCCCCCTCAACGATTTACTAACCAAATCCTTAACCTGAGCGGTGGCTTGGGAAGTGGGGGTTTGGGCAGCATTCTTTCTTGGCCATTCCTTTATCCTGGAAAAAGAGGGCTCCTCCCTCGTGTGTGTCTCTCCTCACCCTGATTCTTCTGCTGTTTGGGAAGAACGTGGAGGAAATGCTGGCTTTTGGTCCCATTGCTCTTACTCCCCTCGTAGTGGCCTTCAGAGATATCCTCCCCCTCCACCCCCAGTCTTGTGTGTGTTGGAAGAGAAGGGGCCCTCCCAGCACAAAGTTGCATTCCCTGTAATTTATTGTAATTTATTAACCTTGGTCCCACTGGAGGAGCTGGTGTTGAGTCAGCCCAGCCGGCCTTCAAGAGGGGAAGCCAGGCCAGGTGGCTGGAGGTCCAGGTTGCTTTTTGTTTCTTGCCTGTTCGTCTGTGCCCTCTGGTAGTTGCTGAGAGAAAACAAGCAATTTGAGCCAAGCAGAAGGAGGTTGGAAATGGAGCCCCACCCTGTGCCCCCTCCAGTCCCCTTTTCCTTAGTGGTGGAAACCCCAGCCCTGCAAAGCGAATGTGCCCCCTCCCCGAGCTCTAGTGTACCTCCAGACCAAGCATCCAATAAACCTGTGTTGAAACCCGAGTGGGCCTGGCGCTTTCTTGGGGTTACGGGTGGGGCTGGAGGGCGTTACTCTTGCTTAGGAGCACTGGGCTAGAAGGGGCCTACTGGGCAGGAGCGACAGCTACGAAGACTTGGCGGGCACCTTCCCGGGGCAAAAGGAGCCCACCACCCTGCCAGGCGGTTTGGGCAGTCCGGCCGACCGGTGGAGGGAATGGGGCGCTGGTGCGGCCCCCAGAGAGCCCCCAGCTGAGGACCGTACGGACGTCCAGGAGCAAGCAAGCACCCGGCCACCACAGGGCAGGGCAGGGCCGGAACGCCCGGAGGGGCGGGACCTACGGTGGTCGACGTCACCGCGTCAGCTGACTGCCTCTGCCGCCGCCGTCGCTGTCGGGAACGCAGACTCTCAGACC